GGACGCTTAACCGACTGCGCCACCCAGGCGCCCCTCCATCTGATTCTTTAACAAATTCTATGCTACCTGCTACACACACCTGCCTCCCTCTCTCCACTGCCAGCACCCTAATTCAAGTCCCCGTGCTCTCTATCAAGGTCTGTTCGCACGCCCCCAGTGGGGCCCCTTCTTCCGCACTCAAACCCCCTGCGATCTTAATGGGTTCGAAGATTCTGCCTACCTCTAACTCGGCTCTCTCTTTATGCCCCTTCAATTCCTGTCACCCTGGATCTCTTTCTGTCCCTTGCTGGTGCACGCTCTTTTCTTCCAGTTTGCACTTAACTGCTTGCTCTTCTTGAAAAGCTCTCCCATGGCTGGTTTCTTTTCTCCATTCAGATCTGATGTGACATCTAATATCAAATTTGGTCTCCCATATATTGTCCACCAAAGCACCTAGTTTGCTTCCTCCTTGGCCCCAACCACAATAGGTAACTGTTTTGTTAATTGTATTCAGATTTTTTTCGTTTTCAAATAAATTAGAACAATTTTAATTTCTGTAATCCCCCACCACGAGACTACCGCAGATAAAATACACAATGCCTGGTTAAACTTGAATTAAAGATACACCTCGAGGAAGTTTTTGGTATATGATTTTGGGATATATGCATACTGAAAAAATTTCTCTGAAATTCAAACTTAACTGGGCATCCTGTATTTTTATCTGCCAAATTTGGGAGCTTCACCTTTGAAGTAAGTGCCTTGCCCTTGTCTCGCTTGTTCTGGGTTGTATGCTGACAGCCAAGCCCAGAGCCTGCCATTTATTAGTAGGTGTTCAGTAATTGTTCTATATGAAGGAACGATCAGTCTGTCGTTTTGTACTTCTTTTTCCCCAAGTGACATTTATTTCTCAGAATTGTCCCCATTCACCGGCAATTCTTGTTGCAGATATGTTGGGAAGATCTATTTTATTATCTAAACTTCTTTGTTTCCCATTTATGTAAAATCAGCAGTTAGGAGTATGTACCTTCATCACGTTGTTCTGAGAATTAAACGAATTAATGCTTGTAAAGTTTAGCACGGTGCCCGGCCCCCTAGAACACGCAATAAATTTCAGCTCGGTATCAAAGGCAGCCCGTGAACCATTTTAGCGGAAAGCAAAAACGCGGGTTCGTGGCGCACGGGTGGGGGCTGGGGAAACGGTTAGAAACGGGCGCCGGCCCAAACGCGGAGGGGCCCGGGGAAAGGGGAGGAGCGAAGAGCGAATGACAGAGAAGACAGCCAATGGGGAGGCTGGGAACCTCTCCCCCTCCCTTAGCGTTTCAAATTCTAAGCTCGGTTTCCATCCGGGTCCTTCAGCCTCGTTCCCGGGCAGTATAAAGTTTGCTGTCTCCTTTGTTCGCCCTCGTTGCGCAGTAGTGCTAGCGTCTTCCCTCTTCCGTTCTCGGAGCCAGCGGCCCTCCCTCGTGCTGGGCTGGTACGAAGCCCCTGCCGGCGAGCTCGTAGGAGCTTGGAACCGTCGTCACCCCTCCGGTACGTGTTCCCCTGCCCTTCTCCCGCTGCGCCTACGTTCCTGCCACGTTAGAACTTGGGATTATCTCCCCGGAGATGGGGGTGGCGGGCGCCATTTTAAGAACCGAGAGGTGCCGACCTATTTCGATAAGGCTGAGCGTGTCCGGGGAAAACGGACGTGGGGGCTCCGTTCGGCCGGGTGCCTCTCGAGAAAGTTTGGCTGTCGCCTGCGGGGGTGGCGGCGGAGGCCGGGGTGGGAACGGGACGAGGGCCGACCGCGCCACCGCGGTACCTGCATTGGGATGGCGCTGGCGCTACGGACGGGCACGTGCACTTTTACGCGGGTCCTTGTTCATTGGCGGCCTTGGAGAGGAAGCCCTACGGATTTTCCCAGCCACTGCCGATAGCGAAAGTTACTCCCCTGGCCGGTGTAGGCTTTTCTGGGTTGAATCCAAGTGTCGCCATTTTGTGTTTTCCACGCGCTTTTTAATGACGGGTTTTAATTGGATTCTGCTGCAGTCATGGAGTGCTGAGTGATACGATGCGCGCTTCCACCTTCCGTTATTATGAAACGATGCCGAAACCTTTTTTATTTTTAAACCTTTTCGGCGGGGCAGGGGCTGGTGGAGAAGGGGTGGTATAACTTGGCTCAAACTTGAGATTTCTGCTTAGGTTTACTAGGGAATCCTAACGAGGAAAGACAAAGTTCTTGGAAGAGGTCCTCCGACTGGCCTGTGACCTTGAATGAGGCTACACGCTTAAAAAAAACCATCAGGGTAATTTGGATGTGATCGTTGAATCCTTAAAAGGCAACACACGTAGGATTAAAACTAGAACTGCTTTTTCAAACGTTGAGTAGTTGATTAAAATTGCCAAGGTGGTTTAAGAATGGAGGCATAAGTTAACTTGGGCCTTTTAACTGGTCTAATGCAAACTGCGCTATCACTAAACTACTTAAATTGGTTTCCTGCTGACGCTTGGAAGAAGAGAATGCTTTTGGTGCCTTCAGTTTTTAAGGAATGACGATTTTATAGTATAACAAAGATGTGCCAGTAAATACATGTGTCCCATAAGCTTGAACTTTTTCTAGGGAGGTAATACTGTTCTTTTTCAACAGACTCTCACCAGGGGGAAAAAATGGTTGAAGCAGATCGCCCAGGAAAGCTTTTCATTGGTGGCCTCAATACAGAAACAAATGAAAAAGCCCTTGAAGCCGTATTTGGCAAATATGGACGAATAGTGGAAGGTGAGTTCTCTGAAGGCATACGCGGAGCTGTGAATAATTAAAAATGTAAGCTGTGATGAATTTGATTACGTTGATCGTCTGACATGATACATTTTGTCCTCTAAGAAGTTCTGAGCTTGCATTTTATAGACTAGCTTTGGTTATTCCATTTGAACTAGAGTAACGCTTCCCCCCCCCAAAACTGTGTTTTAGTTCTGTTGATGAAAGATCGTGAGACCAACAAATCGAGAGGATTTGCTTTTGTCACCTTTGAAAGCCCAGCAGATGCTAAGGATGCCGCCAGAGACATGAACGGAAAGGTGAGATGGCACAATGATCCCGTTTCTAGTGCATAAACTGGCACAGTGTTCTTGAAATCTGGTCGAGGGTAGCTCTTGAGTTGTGTTTTGAGTGTATACCTTTCTAGATGCATCTGATCTTAGCCATTTGTGAATTCACAATTTGCAAAGTTAGGGATTATGCTCTGAAAGTGTCTCAGTTCAGAATGTTGCATGACTCCGTTCTCTACTTGAAAACTGGGCTTTTTGGTTATCAGTTTGTTAACAACTTGACTGGCCTTTTATGTTTTATTGATCAGTAGTGCAATGGACCTTATGTTTGGGTTCAACTCCTCCGTAGCATTCTCAAAAAGTTCCAATGGAAAAACGACCCCGTATTTTTATTGAGCAAAATTTACCTACAAACTTTATTTTGAAGGGTGCGTTGGCGTCACGTGGCATAGTGAAGGGATCTGCAGGTTTTCTTTAAATGTTGATGGAATTACATTTTGATATTATTTAGTCCTTAGATGGAAAAGCCATCAAGGTAGAGCAAGCCACTAAACCGTCATTTGAAAGTGGCAGACGTGGACCACCTCCACCCCCAAGAAGCAGAGGCCCCCCAAGAGGTCTTAGGGGCGGAAGAGGAGGAAGTGGAGGAACCAGGGGACCTCCCTCACGTGGAGGGCACATGGGTAATGACTTGGGTCTGCCTCAGGCTTGGTGTGGAATTTGGGAACTGCAGACCTCACGCCAGTGTGTGCGTTGGTTAAGTCCTTGTGTAAAGACTCCACCTGATACTGGGAACACTTGATGCATATATCGAAGTCCATGAGACTTAAGACACCTAGAAGTCGTTATAAGTTTGTGTTTAAAAAAACAGTGGGTGGGGTAACTAGCTGGCTCAAAGCCCCAGATCTCTGGGGTTGTGAGTTTGAGCCCCACATTGGGCATAGAGCTAATTTAAATATGAAAATGGGCACCAGAACTAGGTAGTTTGTGGGGGGAAAAATTGCAGAAGACTTCACAGAAAAATTTTGATCTAGGCCTTCATTTTAAGTATATAAAAATGAAACCATTCGTGTTTTTTCTTTGAAGCAATTTAAAGACTACCGTTTTTTGGTTGGTCTAGATAGACTACCTTCTGCTTAGTAGTCTTGTAGAAGTGAAAACGAAAACAAGACTCCCCAACTGAACAGAAAATGGTCATTCTTGATAGAGCAAAAAAGAACTTGTACAGCTTCCTACTGATTATTACGACGATTAACAGGTTTTTCTTTTTTATTTTAATGTAGATGATGGTGGTTATTCCATGAATTTTAACATGAGTTCTTCCAGGGGACCACTTCCAGTAAAAAGAGGACCTCCACCAAGAAGTGGCGGCCCTCCTCCTAAAAGATCAGCCCCTTCAGGACCAGTTCGCAGTAGCAGTGGAATGGGAGGAAGAGGTAAATGCTGGATTTATAGAACAATCCATTCTGCCACCATGACCTGCACGTGGTTGACAAGGGATTTAAAAAATGATGGTTTAAAATAAAAATCTTCAATATAAAAGATGCTTATGAAAGTGACTCGTGGACTAGGGATGATGTAGGTACATGAAGTTAATATGCACTGAAAAGACTTGAGTTGTGAACAAGGGGGTTTTAGGGAAGAAACTCTTTGAGTTCCATACCCTCTGTCCTATCTGAGTGAACTGCCCTGCTTTCATTATCTGCATGGAAATTCACATTCACCGAAGCTTCCCACTTTGGATGTATTTCTAAAAATGGTTATTTTGTCTTAAGCTCCTGTGTCACGTGGAAGAGACAGTTATGGAGGCCCACCTCGAAGGGAACCCCTGCCCTCTCGTAGAGATGTTTATTTGTCCCCAAGAGATGACGGATATTCTACTAAAGACAGGTAACAGACAAGTGTAGTAGTTTGTCTCCATAATTTCGGTTGAAGGGAGAACTTGCCAAAAGTGTGAACCGAGTTAATTTTTGTTTTTGTAGCTATTCAAGCAGAGATTACCCAAGTTCTCGTGATACAAGAGATTATGCACCACCCCCGAGAGATTATACTTACCGTGACTATGGTCATTCCAGTTCACGTGATGACTACCCATCAAGAGGCTATAGGTAAAGCGATACTGCAGCCTGTGACAGCTTGTAAATAAAATTGCTCTGAATATTGCTACCCTGTGGCTTACAAGTTTTTCTCTTCAGTGATAGAGATGGCTATGGTCGTGATCGTGACTATTCAGATCATCCGAGTGGAGGCTCCTACAGAGATTCATATGAGAGTTATGGTAAGATACTGGTTGAGGGTCTTCGAGTATCACCAGCTTGAGTTTTTAGGTTCATGAGCCACTTTATTAGGCTGTGTGGTGCTTGCTTTTTAAGGGATATTTGCTTGCTTTTAAGGGGTAACTTTATCAGCTGGGCTTTTCCTAGTTTTGTGAGGGGCTTTTGTTTTTTCTAAGTTTTTCTTTTTTTTTTTTTGAGGCTGTTTGCTTGCTTTGGAGGGGATTTTGCTTGCTTAAATTGGCAGCCTTATGTGTTTTCCCCCAACAGTGAAAATACAATTTAAAAATTTTATTAACAAGATCAAATGTTTACCATTGCAATATGAAGGAAAGTCTACAGTTCAAAATTGCAACTTATCACTGGAAAGTGTCTGAGTGTCTTCTCTAAAATAACAAGCTGTCTGGAATATCCTCTTGAAATACACACCGTCTTCAGTCTTTGCAAACAAACATTAAAACCCATCCATTTCCGTATCTCAGCAGATGAGCAAATCCCTGTTAATGGCCAGCAATGGCAGAGTTTAAAACCTTCCAGTTAAGAAAGTAAACGTTTAATACAAGAATTCTGTAAATTCAGATTTAAATGTTGTATATATACAATTTATAGTGTTGCCATATTACCTGACCATTGACCCTGCAGGTAACTCACGTAGTGCTCCACCTACACGAGGGCCCCCGCCATCTTATGGTGGAAGCAGTCGCTATGATGATTACAGCAGCTCACGTGACGGATATGGTGGAAGTCGAGACAGTTACTCAAGCAGCCGAAGTGATCTCTACTCAAGTGGTCGTGATCGGGTTGGCAGACAAGAAAGAGGGCTTCCCCCTTCTATGGAAAGGGGGTACCCTCCTCCACGTGATTCCTACAGCAGTTCAAGCCGCGGAGCACCAAGAGGTGGTGGCCGTGGAGGAAGCCGATCTGATAGAGGGGGAGGCAGAAGCAGATATTAAAAGCAAACAAAACTTTGGACCAAAATCCCCGTTCAAAGAAACAAACAAAACAGTGGAACCTTTTCTGTC